GCCTCTCTCGAAACCCACCAGGTTCCCCATGCCGAGTGTGTCCCTTCTTCTGTGGGGCAGTGCTGCCCCCCCCTGAAAAATGCTGCCCTAGGCAAATGCCTTGTTTGCCTTGTGGTAAATACACCCCTGGTTTCATGCCTATAGGAACCCCCATAGTTTGGTTTTCAGCTGGAACTGGAGCTGCAACTAGCACTGACAGACATAAATATTTTTTTTCTAGACCACAGAACAGATTTGAATGAATCCAAGTGCAGCATGCGCTGGGTGCCATGGAAGATATAACAAGTATTAGCACCTCTGGTGAGACTTTAGGAATAATATTTTTTTTTCACTATTTTGAAGCATTTTATGCATACTTGCAGTCAAGTGAACTGCAAATATTAGTTTTGTTCTTGGATCTTTTGCTACCCTGTTTTTCCCCTTTTATTGAGTAGCTTATCTCTGTTTTATGTGCATGTTCTCAGATTACAGCAGCTTCTAATTGCATTTTATCTCTAACAAAAGAAGTTAAGGAGACACTGTCTCCTGATGCTTAGCTTCTGTAGAACGGAAACACGGATCTTACAGAATTACACAGAGCAGCATAAATCATTCAACATGAGCACATATGCTAGCATTTCACTATTATTAACATGTATACGAATTGTTATTTTATTGCATTTAAAATGTACTTTTCTTAATAGCCATTAGCACTATTATTTTTTTTTATGTTTCGCTAAGTGTTTGTACCGTTCCGTTCCTTGAAGAGTCACTAAATGTAAAACAACAGTTCATTAATGAACTTTTTGAATTTATTGGGCTACACATTGAATTACAATACATTCGATTCCTTTCGAAATTTTGCAGTGTTTAAATATAATAGCAAAATGTGTTAAATAAGTCAACCTAATAGCTTTTGTGGCACAGTAAGAAAATATCTACACTGACCCATAGCCAATCAGGGTGGGTTGGGTCATCAGGCATAACCCTTCACCCTATCCTGCTTATAAAATCATGCTAGTGTCTGTTTGCATCCCAGACGGCACAGATCTCTTTGCTGGGTAGGTCCTTAAAGTATATGTCAAGGTAAAAAAAAAAATATGCAATACATGCACATTTTGCTATGTTAAAGTGCAAGTACATAAAAATACCTGCTGATCTGCAAGAAACTCACACAACCCCTAATTCCTGTTGTAGACTGACAACTGGGGTGGCTAATTACTTTCCTTGGGAGAACACAGAAAATAAGCACTGGGCACAGGACAACTCTGTATTTCTAACATTATAAATAGGTAATTTTTCACTTCAAACAAAATGCTTGATGTATTAAATGGCGTTTTCAAACCAAAAGGGAACAAGTTAGAGACGTTTTTGTATAGAGATTACATACACTTTAACAACAAGACAGTTGCTTGATTTTTTTATCATCTTTACACATCACCACAGGGAAACCTAGGGACTATTTTCTTAAACTATTTTTTTCTTCGGAATTTTTATAATGTATTGCAGCTGTGTTGCAATAAAAGACAATGACAAAAGCATTTGTTTTTGTTATAAGGCAACCCCATTTGTCACTAAATTATCAATTCCTCTGAGTTGTGTTTTGTGGTTCAGAGTGACGCCATCTTTTTAATTAAAATTAAGTTGAATAAATATAAAAAATAGGCAGCAGGTTGAAAAGTCCATCCAAACTCTCCACTTTTTCTCCTTATAGATTGATAAACAAGCATTTTCAACAAAAGCTGGCCTGTTAAAGCGGAGCTGCACCCAAAAGGGGAAGTTCCGCTTTAAGGACTGCTCCCCCACTCCCCATTAAGGATTGGCAACTTTGGGGGGCGGGGGGGGGGAGCAGGTACCCGAATTTGACAGGTACCAGCTCCCAATTGCGGTTGGACCGCCTAGGCGATCGGAAAAACGGAAGGTGTCCTCCCTCCTTCCCTTCCCCATAGTCTTCTGGGACATGTGACGGGTCCCAGAAGACTACAGGACCATTCATGATGGCTGGGCTTGTCGCATGCGCAGTGGGTACCCGTCTGTGAAGCCGCAAGCTGTCACAGCCGGATGCCCACACTGAAGATGCTGGCCTCCAGGAATCCAGGATGGCAGGTGAAACGGGCTGCGGGGGACACACCACGGGACAGAGGGACAGGTAAGTGGCTGTTTTTTAGAAGTCAGCAGCTACAGTTTTTGCAGATGCTGACTTTTATTTTCTGACAGGATGAGTGGAACTCTGCTTTAAATGTCTTAAAAGAAATAGACTGTACCTTTTATAATGGTAATGCAGCTAAGAGAATGTGCAAGAAAATGGTCACAACCAGGACCCATATAGAGTGCAAAAAAACACACACATAATCCCAAATACAAACTTACTGAAAGTGACTAAGTGCTGTGACTCTCAATATGCTAAAAATAAATAAACCTCAAGTGTCTATTGTGCCAATACAATAGGTCCCAATCTCTGGACCCACATAAATTGCAAACAATCCTCCACAATCCCAAATGGGGATAAAGTGATAATTCACAATCAGCTACAATTAATCAAATAGTGACTTGTGCTGATACATACACAAAATGAAAAACAAATATATAACACAAAGATGAAAACATATTCAAAAATAAAGTCCAAAAGTGCAAACAGCATGTGCAAAAAATACTGTGCAAAAATTGCAATATTGTGCTTCAATTTTCACTCCCGAATATATTTGTGCTTGTGCGTCACTCAGGTGGATCAATATCCATAAATGGCCAGATTGCCTCCTCACCTCCTTACTGTGCCCCTAAGGGCCTCAATGCTTTATGAAGACAACAACTCCACACCATGCAGCATCTCATGAAAATGGATCCAATGGCTCCACTCAATCTCAATTATGGTTCTCCATGGTCTGAGTTTCACTCTCAAGTTGTGGCAGGAGACTTCAATGTTTGTATGGATCCTCAGATGGATGTGACCTCTCCGGCACATAGAGAGGGTAGCAGGTCTCTGAAAAATTGAAAATGGCCGCCGCTGTCTCAGGAACCTCTCGTAACTATCCTCCATGAGGCCATTGAAGTTCTTGTGGTTGTAAAGGCAGGCGTCCCAATACTTTTGGCATTAAAGTGTATATATATATATATATATATATATATATATATATATATATATATACATTCACATCAGTCCTTGCCCTCAATAAGCATACAATCCGAGGTCATTAAAGCTGGGTACACGTGGGCCAAACATCATCAGGAAACTGTTAGTTCAGCAGCAACAAGCTAACTTTTGGCCATGTGTACAGCTCTCTCTCTGACAGAACCTGGTCTCACGAATGAGCATGCTGGAAAACCAGCATCTGACTGGTATCTGATCAGTGCTGGCAGCCAATGGCAGTAATTGCTAATCAGTGGGTTTTAGCTGGGGGCAATCCCCCTGTCAGAACATAATAGCACAGCGGGGGAGATTGCTGAACTAACATTCTCTTGTGTTAGTACAGCTGTTGTCAGTTATTTTCAGTTCAACCCCGCTGGGTCTAACAGAAAAAAACTTCTTGTGTGTATCCTGCAATAATGTCATACATACATATATTAGGACCAAATTAGACAGGAACAAATTAACCTACCAGCATGTTTTTGGGAGTGTGGGAGGAAATCAGAGGAAACCCATGCAGGCACAGGGAGAACAATCAAACTCCAGGCAGGTTGTGCTATGATTGGGATTTGAATCACCATATTTACATTTTTCTTTTGTTGGCCAACAAATGTGTACAACAATTAACTTCTAGACCTTACTTGTTACTTCCCTGTTAGTACAGGAATTTTTCCCTGACAGCAACCTGTCCAGCTACTGATTCTTTCCCTGTGTATAATGAAGTTCAGGTTGACATCAAGAAAGATACTGAAGGTCAAAAACATGATGTCAAGGATAAAGTGAGGGCAGGAAAGATATCTGCTGCCTTAAGAGGAAGGTGACACTGATTTAGGAGACATACTACTGCTTACCATGATGAAAACAAAATTGAAAGAAACAAAACAAATCTGGACAAAGCAAATCTGGCAACCAGAGAGTATGGTAGCATTCAATGATCAGTTTTCTAGGATCCCTATTACTGATCCACAGTACACTGTATTGTTAACTTCTACTTTTACCAGTGTTGGCCAAACATCCAAAAGTTTCAACCACTAAATTTTAAACAACATTGTTACAAAACAGATTTAGCAAGTTAAATAGATAATGATTTCCAGAAAATCCAATATAAACATTCAATGGCCTTTAAACACGCCTGTTTTATTCTTGCTGTTTTAAATAATACCTAGCCACAGCCAAAACTTATTTTGAGAAATTTGGTTGTATGAGTATTGATTGAATTTGTTCATATTGAAGTGTCCGTATTGTTTCATATATGATCCTGGTTTGGTCTTAATGACTGTGTAAGTGGTATAGCCTATGTTATAGAAATTGGCTTTGTTTCCTATTTTGAATATAGCTGTGTAAACGAGGACAGATTATGTCTCTTCATTAACAGATAATTGGAAAACGTCAAGACTGCGGCAGCAACAAGCACGCAGCACAATAGCTTAATTGCTGTATAGTCCACGAACCTCTGTTAATCCTAATGTGTCCTGTGCACTTTGGTAATATTCTTTAGAATCTCTTTATAGAATTCATGTACCTTGAAGGACACTGCTGCAAAAATGCAGTTTGTAAGGACAGCCTGTTGTGCATCTAAAAAAACCTTCTGATTTAAGCGTCAGTCAGAGGGGGAATAACCCAAGAACTTGTTGTTATGAAGCTGAGGTTTTATTAAAAATGTTTTGACATTTATAGCGTTAGATATTTCCTGATACTAAGACGTTGCTTTTAACAATGTAGTGACATTGCAAGCTTTTTAAGTAATTGTATGCTCTTTTTTTGCTGCTATTTTCAAATAGCAGCAATTTCTAAATGTCATTCCTAATTCAATGTGCTGTACTAAAGCTGTTAACACTTTTGCGGGCAACATGTTAGATAAAGGACAACATTTAATCATTGGGCTTTTTATTTTCAGGTATTCTGTGGATCGACACACAGACATGGATAGGATATTCAACATCGATTCTGGAAATGGATCAATTTTTACATCCAAACCTCTAGATCGAGAGTCGTTCTTGTGGCACAATATCACAGTAATAGCTACAGAGATCAGTAAGTCAATTCTAAATGCCAACATTATCCCTGTAGTAATGAAGCAGGTCCTTGTTGAGTCAATCTTAAGAAATATACTGGACACTATGGCTGGGCTTGTTGAACACTAATTATTGCAGTAACATATCTACTCCTTGGTTATATGCAGGGATAAGTTAATCAACCTGGGCGCAGTTCATGGGCTATTTCTAGAACCAGTTGTGAAGCCTGAAAATTGCAAAATGTAATCTAAGTTCCACTGAAGTGTGTAGGGGTGGGGGCGAATCTTGAAAAATCAATTCTAGCCATTTTCAAGGCTAATAGGCAAGGATATGTCAAACAAAGGGTATAAGAACCTGGGCACTGCCATGGGAGACATGTACCAGTAAGCAGAAAAACAAAATGTAAAAATAGCTTACAGCAGGTAAAGAGTCCTCCTTTTTATGTGACTTTGAGGGCAGTGTGAGAAACACACCACAAAAACTGCTCAAAAATAGTTCCACAATCCCTGTTCCGGAGATGAGGCAGCTTTTATCCTCAAATACAAGTTATCTTACAATATTTCAGATATGGTAGCCACACATATTATATGGTGGTTTGTTGAATATCTAAGCAGCTTGATTGGGCTGCAGTGCAAGAGGAAGAGATGTCGCAGTTTTTATAATGGCATCAAAATCAGAGTGTATTTTGTTCAGAGAGAATGAGCAGAAATATTTTCCAGACTCACTACGCAGTATGCAAGCAGTTTTACTAGACTGTAATTTCAGATGGAGAGACAAGGTGGGTATTATCATGAAATTAACATTAGAATGCAGTATTTCAGAGACAGTAGTCAGAAATATTGTACATACTCAATGCACACTACTGTAGCAGCTTTAGTAGACCCCATTTTCATAGAGAGGGATCATACAGGTTGCATCATGATATAAATATAAAATTATTTTAGAGACTACAGCCAGAAATATTGTACAGACTTCATGCACACTATGTAAGCACTTCTACTAGACCACAGATGGAGAGACCAGGCAGGTTTCAATCAAGAAATTAAATCAGAGTGTATTATTTTAAAAAACAAAAAACACAATTCTTGTACAGTTGAAACACACCATGTAAGCAGCTTTAGTACATTGCAGGTTTAGAGGGAGAGACTATGTTTAGATCAAGAAATGCAAATTAGAGTGTATTGTGTCACAGAAGAAAGCCAGAAATATTGTACTGACTTCATGCACAGTATATAATTTACTAGTTCTAGGCCCCAGTTTAACAAGGAGAGATCGGGCATGTAATCATGAAGTTACATAAAGAGTGTATTACTTGACAGAAATAATGCAGTAATATTGTACAGTTAATGCACTGTCAATGAAACTTTCTGTTTTAATCAAGACATCACACTTAGAGTGTACTATTTCACAGAAAAAAGCCAGAAATGTTATATTGACTCCAGACACAGCATATATACATTTTTCTACTAGGTCACAGGAGAAACCAGGTACTTTTGATCAATAAAATCAAAATTAGACTGTACTATTTCACAGAAAAAAAAGCCATAAAAATTTTACAGACTCCATGTACTGTACAGTATGTTAGACCAAGGGATCAAGCAGGTAATATAGTGAAATAAAATGTAGAGTGTCATTTTTAAGTCAGAAGCCAGAAGTATTGCACAGACTTAATGTACACTACGTCATCCTTTTTACTAGGCTGTAATTTCAGTGACAGAGGCCAGGCAGGTTTTATCATGAAAGAAAAAAAGTATAGTGTGTTATTTCTGAAACAAAAGCCAGATACGTTGTGCAGACTGACTACACACTATGTAATTTTTTTACTGGGATGTAGTTTCAAAGGTAGAGACCAGGCAGGTTTTATCATGATATAAAAAAATAGAATGTATTTTTTAAAAAACAAAAGCCATAAATAATGTACCGACTCAATGCACACTATGTCAGCTTTTTTATTATGCACAAGTTTCAGAGTGAGAGACTAGATATGAAATGCAAATTAGAGTGTATTATTTCAGAGACAATAGCCACAAATATTGTACATGCAATGAAGAGTATGTAAGCAGTATGAGTAGGCAACAATCTAATAACAATGTGTCAGGGCTCACCATCCTAGTCACCTCTTTGAAAAGAGACAAGGTGGTACAAATATCTTGAATCAGGAGCCACTAACATGGTGAAAGAAACTCACAAATATATGTTGATGGTGCAACTTCTGCAACATGGAGGTATCACATATCAGGCAGTTGCCAGGCAACTTGTGTTGCCTCTGCATTTCAGACAACATGCACTAGGTATGACCACCGAAAGTGGCAACGCACTCATCTGCTTTTCCTGTTTCAGGAACAATTTCATGCTGCTGAATCCAAAATAATGAAAACTCCAACTCTGTTTTACGTTACTTTTATTTTTTTGTTTTTTGTTTTTATAACAGTTGCGTTTATTGAAATTGTACAAAAGTATAACAAGGCAAGGTACATAAGAACAGGCAAAGTTAAGGCAGTCAGTATAAAAAACAATTCACATGGAATTCCAACGCTAAATATATCATACAGAGTCAACTGAACATCCTTGACGAAACAAGGGGGGGGGGGGGGGGGGTAGAAAGGGGAAAAGCTAAGAACAGAGAAACCCCCGAGAGGGCAGGAAGAAGAGTAAGAAAAAAAAAGAGAGGGGGAGAAGAAGAAAAAGAGAGGCAAAGAAGAAAAGCAAATCTTAAACATAAACAATAACCAAGCAAGTACACAGTACAAACTGGACATACCCACAAGAGAATAAGCCAATTATTATACCATAAGGCCATGAGCCCCCACCCACCCAGTCCATATTTTATCAATTTAGCTGGACAATCACGGCTCATATAAGTAAGTTTGTACAATGGAAGCGCCCCATTGACTGCCGATTTCCATTCCGAGACTTTCGTCTGATTCCATTTCAATAGAATTTCTCTCCTAGCATAGTAAAAAGCATAGAAGACAAACAGTCTATTATGCTTAGACATCTCCACAAGGTCCAAAAGGCCTAACAAAATAATCAGGGAATCCATGGGGATAGACAGTTTACTAACAGCATTAACAGTATCCAGCACCCCGGCCCAGAAGGGGAGAAGCTTGGAACATTCCCAGAACATATGGAGAAACGTGCCCACCTCCATATCACAGCGAGGCCATGTGGCTGATCTATCAGGATATATCACAGCCAAACGCCGGGGGGTGTAAAATACTCTATGGATAAATTTAAGCTGTATGAAGCAGTCCCTGGCCAAGATCATGGTAGGGAGGCACTGTAGAAGACAATCCTCCCAGTCATCCTCTGATAAAAAGGGAGGTCCATGTGCCATTTATCAAAGAGCTCCTGCATTCTAGGGGTAGAGAGTAGCATCAACAGGGAATGGAGAGCATATAACGGCTTAGGAAAATCCTCCAGTAACAGCAAATTTTCTAACAGATCCATCTGAATGGTCAGTGGAGAGGGAATTTGAGCGGCCACCACATGACGCATTTGTAAAAACTGGAAAAACACTCAGGCAGGCCATAATTACATTTGAGTTCGTCAAACCAAAGCAGGAAGCGGCAAGGCATAATATGGTGCAATGTTTTTATACCATATCGAGCCCACACCACATGGTCTGGGATTGTATGCAAATGTAGGAGGGCAGGGTTGCCACAGAGTGGTGTTTGAGGGGAGTATGCATTATTCACACGAAATTGAGCTCTAGCCTGACTCCACACCCTAAGGGTTGTCAGCATAGGAAGAGTGATGGCCGAGACGGACTTCGGACATCTATGAATTAGGTTACGAAGTTCAGCATACAAACCCAGTATTGCCGCCTCCAGGATCACCGCAGCATTATCCCTAGGCCGGGAGAGCCACCATCGCACTGTGACCAGTAGAGCCGCCCAATAATATAGAAGCAGTTTAGAAAGTGCCAGGCCTTCTCAATCAATAGGCAAGTGCAGCGTGGATCGGGAAAGTCTACGGGCCCTTCCAGCCCAAATAAACCCAGAGACGATGCCATCAACTCGACGCATTGCGGGATCTGCACCGGTGTATGCCGAAAAAAAATAGATTAAAAAAATAGATAAACTTAGGAATATCATTTTAAAAAGATTAACCCGGCCAATAGTGCTAATCAGAAGGGAAGACCACGCAGTACATTTAGTCTGTAACTGTTGGACAAGGGGGTAAAGATTGTCCGCTAGAAACTTCTTCAAGTCACGTTGCAATGTTACACCCAAATACTTAAAGCAAGAAACTGATCTAATAGGGGCGAAGGAAATGTCGGGTAAGGGCCCTGATGCAAGAGGAAACAGTATGGACTTCTCCCAATTAATGCAGATACTGGAGCAACTGCCGAAGTGATCAAAAGGACTCAGTGCCTCCCTAAGAGATGAATTACAGTCCCTCAACTATAGGAGAGTGTCGTCCGCATAGAGGGAAATCCTATCCTCCCAGTCACCCACCGGTAGGCCATGTAAAGAATCAGATGAGCTGATTAGACAGGCTAAGGGCTCAATTGCCAGGGCAAACAAGCCCGGAGAAAGTGGACAGCCCTGCCGAGTGCCCCTATGGAGAGAAAAAGGGGGGAGAGGATATTGTTAGTACATACTCTCGCAAATGGCACACTGTAAAGGCACCTAATCCACAAAATAAAATGAGGGCGAAATCTAAAGCGACACAGTGTTTCCCATAGATATTCCCACTCAACCGAATCAAAGGCCTTCTCTGCGTCTAGGGACAGCACCACCCCAGGGTCATCCCTATCACGAGCTGCAGAAATAGGGGTGAGCAGTCTCCGTATGTTAATGTCCATACCCTTCCCCGGCATAACACCTATCTGATCATGATGCACCACCGCTGTCATAACCGAACCCAGTCTCCCAGCCAGCACCATGGCGAGTACCTTCACATCAGTATTCAGGAAGGGCACTTTTTTAAACTTGAAATGAAAAAAAATATATATAACAATGTGAAATAGAAGGGAAAAACTCCATTAAAGCAGAACTCCAGGCAAAAACGTCT